GCAGTGCCACTTCTGATCTTCCATGCCCATTCCCCAGGGTCGACTTCCAAATCTTCCACCGGAGTAGTTGGACAGAAAACTGTGAATTCGTCTGTCTCAAYTACTCTTACCTTAYRCAATTGACTTTTGAGAATGGTTATAGGCGCTTTGGAGTTCTTCTCAAGTAAAGAGGTGGTGCTCCCTTGATGCATGATGGTATATTTGTCTGCCTGAAGYCATYCCRGCCTTGCAGSCTCCTGATCCCATATCYTRAAGACTTCTCYTGGARCATTGTCATCTTCCCAYGTGGCCMAGTCCCCTAGCCCCCACTGTGATTCCTTTCTCAGAAGATCCCCCCACCTTTGTGGAATGGCTCTTAGGACTATTTCTAAATTTTCCGACAGCCTGTGACAACCCCTTAGTTGCCCCCTTAGCTCTTTAGCTGTTTTCCACCTATTTTCCGAGCCTTCCCACAGGTGTTTAACCTGCCAGACCCCATGCTCTAGCCACTTACCCCATTTCGTGTCTTTAATTAAGAGGGTCAGTGTTTTCCCCTGCGCATCCCTAATACTTGAGTTACAAAATAATGACTGTCTCAAAACTTCTTCTCTTGTGTGAGGCTCACTGACCCTTGCCGGAAAGATTTCCTTCCAGAGTTTCATTAGTTGACCCCAATATGATGCCTTCCTTACTAACTCCTCATTACCACCCCTGTCATTAACTTCCCTAACCCCTTTTGCCCATGTGCTACACATGACCCAGAACTGGCCCGACATATTCGGTGGGGTTCTATACTTAGCCAATTTCCTAATCTGATAGAGCGCTAGGGACGTCCAAGGCAAGTTATGCTGGGCGATCAACTTAATTAATTACCCATTTGGTCTAGAGTGCTTTAAGTTGGTGATCTGGGTCTAAAAGCCCCAGTCCTCCCTGCTGCTTCGGTCTGGTAACATGCTTCCACGCCACCTTAGAAATGAAGTGTACAGACATTGCATTAGATGTCCATAAGTAGGCCGCTGCCCTTCTTCTCAGCATGTTAACGTAGTATTTGGCAGGGTCCAAATTGACCCTGCATACCAGATCATAGAAAAGATAGATGCATTTAATATGAGTGCCCTCCCGAATATAGAAGTGTAGACATTCGACCAAGCCCCTAGCTTACCCAGGATCTTGGACATTAGATCTGCTGCCTTGGAGTGATGTGTACCTGCTTCTGTAATCTTCACGCCTAGATATCTAATCGGGGCCTGTGGAGACGTCCATTGTAGACCTTCCGGGCATTCAACCGGGAGTTGCCCTTCTTGCCCTTGCTCACCCAACCACCAACCCTCCGTTTTCTGCCAGTTTATTTTCATTTCTGACGCCAATTGAAAAGCGTCCATTGCCCTTGTTAGTGCTTGAAATGATGAGTCTGATGCCCTAATGAGCACTGTTCGATCATCAGCAAACAAAAGGGTTGTGGGAAGCTGAACTGAGTGTCCTGTTGGTCCGGTTCCGCCACTAACCTTTAAATTGAAGGATCCTTCCACAATAAGGAAGCAACGGGCCTCCATTACGAACAGGAAGATCGGCGCCGCTAACGGGTCACCTTGCCTAACTGATCTCAACATTCTATAGGTTGCAGACAAATGACCATTAACTTGCACTTGGCCCTGCGCATTGTTGTATAAAAACCTTATCCATTTCCTAAAATTCGGACCTACCCTCATCTTTTCCATGCATTGCTGCAGAAAGGGCCAGCTGACCTGGTTATAGCCTTTTCAAAGTCGAAGAACATTATTGCAGCATTAATACGTTTATCTCTTATATACCTCACTGTCTCAGTCAGAGTCATGACATTGTCTAAGATGAACCTTCCGGGTATAAATCCTGTCTGGTCCAAATGAAAACAACTCGTTGTGAGAGGAGTGAGTTTGTTTACTAATGCTTTGGCTACTATCTTATGCGTGAGTGTTAGCAACGTAATTGGCCTATAATTCTGGATGTCCGAAGGGATCCCTTTCTTGTATAATAGCGTCACTACTCCTGTTGTCGGATCCTGTCCTAATCCTTCGTCCTACCATGCTTGCCCCAGATA